CTCACCTCCTCACCTCCTAACCTCCTCACCTCCTCACCTCCTAACCTCCTCACCTCCTCACCTCCTCACCTCGTCACCTCGTCACCTCCACCTTCCCTCGTTGCAGCGTCTGAGTCGCGCTCCTGACTGAAGTTCTGTTTTGTTGGGTCAGATCCAGTCCAACCTCGGGAAAATCATCCTGAAGGAAGAACTGGGGAAGTCTGCGGGTCCGCTGAGGAGGAAAACCCGTTCACTGCCGGACCGGAACCGGAACACCGGTATGGACTGAGCCTGGACCCCACTGGTTCTGATGGACCCGACTGGTCCGGTTTTTCCAGAACCCGTCCATCTGGACCAACCTCGCTCTCCTCTCTGTTCCAGGCTCCGGCGCCTCCAGGTCGGTGTATTTCCCAGCATCCTCCAGGAGCGGCCTGTCCCGGGTACGTGGTTCTATTCCTGCTGCTGTTCGACCCGATCGGGTCACATGGTGACCGGTGTGGTTCTGTGTTTCAGCTGCAGTCTGCTGAGTTCGGCTCTGCAGAGAAAAACCCGGCAGGTAAATCCTGCAAACCGTTTCTGGTCCAAAGTGACTCAACCGAAAGTTGGCAGCAGAAATCTGGATTATTAGTAGAAACAGAAAATTCATTTTCTGTCAGATTTCACCACATTATTCATTCAGTTATTTCAGATTCAAACTAAACATTCAATTTACAGGATAAATATCTAGTTTACAAACAAAATATTTAGCTTGAGGCTAACTATTTAGCATGCTAACTAAATATTTAACAAGCTAAATATTTAGCTTATTCATTAAATATTTAAAAGACAATATAAATATTTAGCTTGCAACCTAGTTAGCAAGCAACTAGCGAGTAACTATTATAGATATTTAGTTAGCAAACAATATTTAGCTTGCTAGCTAGCTGGTTTTTATAAATGAATGAATAAAATGGTGAAAGTGATTGTGGAAAATGAACCCATTTTGTCCAAATTGTTCATTTTTGGCTTTAATTTTACTGACATATAAATATCTCCTCTTCATGTTCTTCATTCTGAAATGTAGAAAATATGTTTGATTGGAATATTTATGAGTTTTATCTGTAAATATTTCCATCCTGCTGTGAAACCTGCAGTGATGCGTTTCTGTCTGTCTGCAGGTCTGCAGGTTCGTCTGAATTTACCCGACATCCATGATGACGACAAAAACACGGTTTCACTGGGAACCAGTTAAAATCTGGGAACCAGTTTTAAAAACCAGTTTAATCTGAGGTCTGTGTGAACTGTAACCAGTGACTGTTTGTGTTTTGGGTCAGAACGGAGACTCCAGGATGGACCGGGGGAACTCCCTGCCCAGCATGCTGGAGCACAAGGTGAGGAGGCAGAAACCAGTTCAAACCGGCTGACTGGAGTCTCACTGGTTGTACTGGTTTCATCTGCTGTTGTAGATTTACCCGTATGAGATGCTGGTGGTGACCCACAGAGGGCGCAGCAAGCTGCCCCCCGGGGTGGACCGGACCCGCCTGGAGGTAACTTCTACACCGAAACGGTTCCTGGAGTCAGGAAACATTTCAGGTTTTCTGATCATAATCATTTATTTCTAATGTTTCGATCAGAACCTGCTGAAAAATTCAAAATTAAATTCACTTTATTCTTTAAATTAGTTTAAAAAGTTTCTAATTAGATCACAACCCCTGTTTTGTGGTTATTCTTATTTTCTTATTCATTCTTTGTTCTGGTTTATATTTTCATTTTTTACAGATTTTTTATATTATTTTCTTCATCTTTTTCCATTTCCACCCAAAATATCCGTGACCTTACATTAATCAAAACAATGAATATCAGAGAAAAGGAAAATAATAATGCAAACAACTTCATGACAGCATTTGGTTTTTCCATCCATCCATTTTCTAACACCTTGTCCCTCAGTGGGTCAGGAGGAGCTGCTGAGACGGGTCACCTGGACGGGTCACCTGGACGGGTCACCTGGACGGGTCACCTGTCTGTCACAGGGCAACACACACACACACACAGGGAGAATTTAGAGAAACCAATTAACCTGACATGGTTTTGGACTGTGGGAGGAAGCCAGAGCACCCAGAGAAAACCCACCATGCACAGGGAGAACATGGAGACTCCATGCAGAGAGACCCGGGCCGGGAATCGAACCCAGAACCTTTTTGCTGCACAGAAACAGCTCTACCAACTGCACCACTGTGCAGCCCGTTCTGTGCTTTTTTCCTCTGTGCTAAATGTCTCCATTTAATTATTTTTTGTTTGTTTTCTTATCTAACTGGTTACTAGTTATTTTAAATATTAATATCTCTGTCCGTCTGGAATGTTTGCTTGGTTTGCACTGATGGGTGAATAAAACGTTTCTACGGAAACCCAGCAGAGCGTCGAGTCGTTGCCTCCTCCGGGCCAGCAGGGGGCGACATGTGAGCCTGTTTCAGCTGCTTCTGTCTTCCTGCAGAGACATCTGTCCCCGGAGGAGTTCCTCAGCGTCTTCAGGATGTCCATCGAGGACTTCGACCGCCTCTCCCTCTGGAAGAGGAACGAGATGAAGAAGAAAGTCTGTCTCTTCTGACCTTCCCAGAACCCCCTGCTTTCTCCCGGACGGCCCGGCGGGAAGCCGGACGGACTGCGGCCGCGACCTCCGGACCGCCGGACTCCTGGGTTCGTGGACGGCTTGGGGCGGGCTGTCGGGTTCTGCTGCGTCACTTTAGCGTCACCGGTTCCTCCAGCCGCAGAACACCAGCTTCACTAAACTAGCTAGCGCACAAACTGTCCGGCTAACGGGGGAGACCCAGCTGCTGGGTTCTGGTTCTGAATCCTGGAATCCGCCACAAACAGCAGAAAGTCTCAACATTCCTCTGACCCCGAGTCAGGTCCCTGATGGCCTCCTATTGGCTAAGCCAGCGATGATGTCACAATGACGGCGTTTCTTTCCCAGCAGCGAAGAAGAAAAACGAGGATTGAAGCTGATCGCACAGACTGGAGCCAAAATCCAGACCAAAACAAGTTAACAGCTAAAATAATGATCGGTAATCCACATGAACTATCGATTATTTTCAAAGATTGCTTGATTGTTTTGATAAATAACCAACTATTCTGATGATTAATTGGTTATTTCAAACGATTAATCTATCATTTTTGATGAATAATCAATTATTTGGACAAATAATTTCATATTCCAATAACTAACATTCTGCTAATTGATTATGTTGAACATTAATCAATTATTCTGACAAATAGTCAATTCGTCTGATGATTAATCTGTTATTGCAAAGATTAATCAACTATTTTGACTTTTAATCGATTAATCTGATAAATATTTGGTATATTCTGGAGATTTTTTCATTTTATTGCATAAGCATTTTTACACAATGTTGGAAAAACATAAAATATAACTAAAGACTTCTTTTCCTTTTTAAATAAGAAAATTAACGTTGTGTTGCCTAAAATGCTAAACTAATGTATTTCTACAGTGAACAGATTATTTGTTAATCTGCAGATTAAAAACTACTTAAAACATCAAGATGAGAAAAACTTTCCATGCAGTGTAGATCTGATCTGGGGATTATTTATTGGATTGACTGATTAATAATCTGACTGTTGAGGACATTTTATTATTATCCAACATGTTTTTACAGAACGTGAAGCTGAAACTGCCTCTGCAGGAGTTCTGGGAAAAACAGATTTATTTTTTATCTAAAATACTACATTTACATATTTTTGAACAGTTTTGGCTAATTTACCCTTTTTGCCTGTAGTTAATATTCCGTTAATGATTAATTGATTAATAAATGATTATTTCCTGGTCCCAGTAAACCCAGCTCACCGTACTGGTTCCAGTTCAGCTCCAGTCTGAGCCGTGATCCAACCTCCTCGTTTTTCTTTATTCGTTCTTCAGCAGAAACCACTGCCACACACACACACACACACACACACACACACTGAGACATGGCCCAGCGGTGGGAAACGTCCAGTTCGGCTCTCGTTGCTTCGTGACCAAACGATGTGCAGCTATTTTTCAGAAAGTGGCATGTTTGTTATGAATTCATCTAAAAATGTGAAAATGATTCAGAGGAAGTTTGGAGGAAACTTCAGCCGGATGTAAACCCCTCAGCGTTCAGCTCATTCTTCTCCGTAACGTCAGTTCTTAACGCTCCGCAGCGCCACACCTGGCCGACAGGTTAACTGCACCTAACGAGTCAGGCTCCGAGTCCGAACCGGATTTAAGGAAACCCGTTTCAGATTTAATCCAGCAGGTATGAGAACCAGAGGAATAATTATTTCATATTAATGCTCTCAGATGACTGCAGCTGCTGTTTTAATTTCCACTAAATGATTTAATTTTCGCTCCGTCTGACGATCCGGACCGTTTAACAGCTGCTGGTTGATGGGATGCAGAGGAAACACGAAGCAGAAAATAAAATGAAGTAAAGGATAAAACACAATAAATGAACTACCATCCTTATTTAAAATGGAATTAAAAATGTATTTTCGTCAAAACATTAAATTTCAGTTAAAATTACCAGAAACTTTTAGAAGCAGCTTCCTGTGGAAGCCAGCAGAGGGCGCTCTGACACAGGCTGCACTCAAACGGAACCAGAAGAAACGTTTTAAACATATAAGCTTTTTGTTATGTTATAAATCATGTTTGAGGATTGATTTGATATTTAATATTGTTGTATATTTTTGCATTTTTACAAACTAAGCAGTGGATAATAAATCCAACTGTATATTTATTCTTATTTTACTGCATTTTTAGCTTTTATCAGACTTTGTGTAGGACGTTAGGAGCTTCGGTGTTTTAAAGCTGCTGTCTGAGGCTGCAGGAGGTTATTAATGATTATTAATGATCATTAGTGATTATTCATGGTGATTTGGGTCCTTTAAATCCGGGCTTAGGGACTCGGACCTGCGTCAGTCGACTCGCTCTCACTGCATCATTAAAAGGTCAAAGTTCACCGCATCACTCCTTCGCTGCTTCCTGTGCCTGTGGACAAACAGAAACAATAAAATCATTTGGCTGAAGATGTGAAGAAGCATCGGCCACGTTACGTGGAGGATTTTTCTTCAGGTTCTGGTTCTTGGTGTTGTTTTCCTGAGCGGGTCCTGCTGTGCTCTGATTGGCTGCTTGCCGTGACCGACTCCATGACGACACAAAGATTGTTCATGTTTCGCTTTTTCTACATTTTCTGCTGTTTTGAATCCATTTTTTATTCTTTGCAGGACGACTCAGACGCTTTCAGCTCATCTCCTTTTATTGATTAAAAACTGATTTATTTCTGTTCTGGTGAAATAAAATAAAACCAGGTTTTTCTCCAACATCCTTCAGCTTCCAGAAAAACAATTTAATCTTATTTTGGAAAATATTTGCTTTAAAAACTTCTGCAGTGATCCATAGTTAAACTTTAGAAACATTTTATTTCTGTCTAAAAGCTGAAGAATGAAGCAGATAATTAAATTTCATTTATTGTTTAAATTGTTGTTTTTTTCATCAACCTCCTTCATGCCTCTCGCCCCTCCTGGGTGGGTCGGTGTTTGGGGTGATGCCGTTTCTCCAGATGAACCGATGATGTTCTGTTTGCTGTTTTCAGAAATGATGTGAGTGAAGAGCCGGAGTTACAATAAAAAGATTTCTAGCAGCTTTCAGGCCGTCGACTCCAAGTTTCTCTGGAGGAGGAGGAAATATTTATCCCCACATAAATTCACTTACTGGTAACCAGAAGTGGACTACCAAAATAAAAGCTGCGTCCTCTGAACATCTTTATTAATATAAACTCTTGTTTTTGATCCTTACTGCTTTTTCGTTGCTTCTCTTCTTCTTTTGCTTCATCTTTATGACAGACTAAATAACTCAAATAATTTCTGTTAATGTTTGATTGTGTAACTTTACAAACCAAATAAAAACTCCACAGATGAATCAGATTTTAATCTTTACAGATCAGTGTTTGCTCAAACAGAAACTTTCTCCTGAGTATAAAGAACAGTAAATATAAAAGATGAAAGGATTTCTTCCTGGTAAATAGAAATCATCAGTTATTACATTGTGCTGATCAGTACATGATGAAATAGTTACAATATTTATGAAAGAACAGAGACAGAAGATTGTATCTGAGCTCCTGCTGTGATCAGATCAGCGATTCTGCCTGAGAAATGAAAACAAAACAGCAGCTGCTGCTTTTACATTAAAGTCTGGAGTCTGGCGCCCCCTGTGGCCATCAGCGGTCACTGCAGCGGCGAAGCCACTGTGACCCAAACTGTTTCCATCCCGGAAGCGGGTTTCCATGGCAACCAGACGACGATCCTCCTGGACGCTGAGCTGCTTTTACTCATTTATGTTAAACACTTCATAAAAACAAGTTTTCTGCAAACTTTGTATCATGAAAATGTTCAGAAAAGATTCGATAAATGGTTTGAGTTTCTGTTCTGGTTTTCCTGCAACACCTGAACTCATCACAGAACCTGAGAAAAAGCTCCAACCAGCTGCTTCAATGTTTATGAAGATCCAGAACCGGGTCGTCGGTTCTGGTCCTGGAAGAATCTTATAAACTAACACAAAGTTTAAAGGGCATTTTTAGTTTTTTTGCTGTTAATTAAAACATCATATTAGTCCTACATAAATGAATTATCTGGTTATTCGATGGTTTCTTCTCTTAGAAAACTCGTTAAGTGAAAAACAAAACTTAAAAGATATTCCAGTTTTTGTTGTTGTTGTTGCTCAGAGATTCTGTAGTTTTTCAACTAAATTTATCGATTTTCCTTTCTATGTTCTGTATTTTGGCCATTTCCTGTCACATTTCTAAAGTCGTTGTTCCACATAATGGTTCCCAGGGGCAGATCTAGTGATTCTGGGGCCCAGGGCGAAAAAGGCCCCAAAAACACACTGAGTTCGTTCATCCAGTCCATGACTGCAGGTGGTTTAGTTTTTTATTATTATTATTATTATTTTTTACTTAAAAGTGATCATGGCTGAAGTTTTTATCCTACCTTACCATAGAAAGTATATTTGTGTATTTATATAAAATATATATGGAGATAAAATTGTCACTGTTGATCTTCAGTTCATCAGTGATTTCAATTATTTTAAAATAAACTTTGGTAAATCACTAATAATAACATGATGCTCCAATGCTCTTTCTTTACTTCCAAATAAATAGTTAGCTCCTGTCTAACTATTATATGATTATATGGTGATTAAATTTGTTTGTCCTGGCACCCCGGGCCCCTGGCCCCCTGGGCATCTGGCCCCTGGGCACCTGGCAC